GGTTTCGATCCCCGTAGTAGGCAGAGCACAGATAGCCCATTGTGTAGCTTTGCGCAAAATTCCAACCAAACCAATTCTAATAAAAACAAAAAACAAAAATCATAAAAGATTTAGATCATGTATTAAGATTTCGGTGTGTCAAAGCGTCACAAGAAGTTGAGTTTGCGCACTGATGTCTCTAAAATGGAAATCACTCGCAGAAATTAAAGTCGTCGCAATAACATATACACCGTTTTGATAGTCTAAAAATTGAATTGTTACACCGAATAATAACTAAATGAATGACTTACGTAGGCCCAAGAAGGCCCTAGCAAAGAATACTTTGCCCAACTCCTTCCAATGTTATGTAAGTAAATGAATAAGTTATATGAAACACAACTAAGATAAACACGTTTCCGATTGTCTCGTATACTATCATGGTGTGTGTGTGTGTGTGTGAGTAGGTGAGTGGTTGATTTACTGGGGGAGGATTATGAGGTTCTCTAGTTATTGACTCATAGGAAACCTCAAAGATTGCCGCACCAGTCCTGTGAATTCACAGGGGGGCCTTTTATGAGTTGTAACTTTGTAACAGTAGGGCTCAAGGATTCTCAAAGTTTTAATTTTGTGTTATCTGACAAGTGGGCCTACATGTGTTGGAGTCTATTATCATCAAACGGGTTTCTGGGTACAAAAAGTATTAATTAATTATATATATATACTATATACGCCACCTATGTTTACACCATTGCTCTGGAATCTAGACTCTATACACTGAACATTGTCGTGGGAAGCAATTTGTGAGTGGTCAGGCCAATGTCACATCTAAACAATGTGACACACGATATTTGCAAAGCACACTAACGTCATGCAAATCATGCCCCCCCCCAGAACGTTTGAAGGTTTAATCCTATGAGACTGAATCTTGAACTATTTCAACTACAAATCTTGCATACACACAACGAGATGTATTGAACTAAAATAAGCAAATTTTAATACATAAGTTGTAGATATACATGCCACGAAAAAGTGGTCAGGCCATGGCCTGACTGGCCTTATCGCTTCTTAAGGCCCTGATGAAGCATGCAAAACTAGTCAATACAATTCTTAAAAAAAGCATAAAAGATACTATAAAAACAAACAGCTGCAAATAAAAAGAAAACATTAGAGCAAAATAGTCCGACAAGAATCTCGTAAAAGAAAAAAAAAAAACAAAGTGTAAATTCCAATTGATCTTCAAAGATTTTTTTTCAACATCACTTACCCTGCTTTTAAACGTCTCATGTGCTCACGCCGGCGGTGTCGCTGTGCCCTGTGTCTTAGAGCACAGATGATTGCAAAGGCAAGCAGTGGAAAGCTGATAACACAGGAGACAATAGGAATCACTACAGGTCGAGCATCGAGGGAGACTAAACGAAGAAATATTTGTTAGTTATTTCCTGTTCCAGAAAATATCGTTCAATCGACTGTAAGCACCTGCTCTACGTAGTTGAGCGTTGAAAAAAAAAATCATACTCCTCTTTCAGAACTAAAACTATTTTACATCGCACACGCTGTCGAAAAAAATACGAGGAAATTATGATGATTTATATTGAACTTTTTCTCCTCAGGTCTGGTTTCTTCAAATGTCTTTGTTCTTCTTATAACTTAACGAGGAAAAGTGAATGTGCAACCAAGCTAGCTTTGGTCGATTTAGTATTGCTCAGTAGGGGCTAAACGTTGGAATTCAACTCATAAAGTTAGTTGTTGTATTTATTTATTTAGTATTGCTCACTAGGGGGCTAAACGTTGGAATTCAACTCATAAAGTTAGTTGTTGTATCTATTTATTTAGTATTGCTCACTAGGGGGCTAAACGTTGGAATTCAACTCATAAAGTTAGTTGTTGTATCTATTTATTTAGTATTGCTCACTAGGGGGCTAAACGTTGGAATTCAACTCATAAAGTTAGTTGTTGTATCTATTTATTTAGTATTGCTCACTAG